AAGCAGAACAGCTCTCGAGAGAGCAGAAAGGTAAGGCTCAGGGGGCTGGAACACTCCCAGGCTTTGATTCTGTTGATGGTGCCCTGGATGCTGAACCTCTGCAAAATCAGGGGGAAGATGCCACCTTGGGTTGTAGGGATACCCCAGGCTGGGTGTTGTGGTTGTCAAGGTGGTGTTGGAGTTGTGACATAAAGATGTTTGCTGTGTTTCCTGTAAAATGTTCAGTGTAGGAAGAGGAACTTGGTGCATTTCCCTTTCTGGAATTCTTTAGTGAAAACTCCTTAAGGAAGTTTGGCACTAGTTTAATTATTGTCAACTAGTGAGATACAAGTTTTAGGGGAAAACCAAGAAGTTTGGCAGTGGTTTAGTTGTTTCCAGGCAGTCTTGTGCAGAAGAGTAAAGACATGGATTAGCAAGGACCTTTCTCCTGACTCCCCCATTCCCCCACCTCTCCTCATTCCCTTTTTTCCTACCCCAGCCGTTGATGCTGGGAGCTGGGGTGGGGTGTGGTTACCAAAGGTGCTTCTTTAACGTGTGTTTGTGCTGTTGCAGAGTTCTTTGCAGAACTGGACAAGGTGATGGGGCCCCTGGTGTTTAACACGAGCATCATGACGGAGCTGGTGCGTTACACGCGGCAGGGCCTGCACTGGCTGCGCCTGGACGCCAAGTGAGGAGCCAGCCCAGCCCTGCCCTGCCCCTCTTCAGCTGCCTCTGATTCCTCTCCACAACACTGTGTCATGTCAATAAGGAAGACTGCCATAACACATTGCTTAGTTGACACTAAGAGCAAAGAATGCTTTCCCACGTCTCCCATCCTCATTTGTGTTTTGTGTTTAACCCCAAATCAGCTGGTTCATGGACTTCTCCAGTATTCCCGGTTTAAGTTATTTAAATATTTGAAAATTTGCTACGTAAAAGTTGTAGTTTTGCTGATCTGTCATGGATAGATCATTGGAATTCCAGTCACAATACATGAATAGTCAGTTTAAATCCTATTTATTTTAATTTTTTTAATTTTAATTTTGAAAAGCCCCCTTTGGGGCTGGTTTTAGCTATATCTTCTTCCCTAAATTTCCCCTTTTGAGTACTTAGAAATTAAACCTAGACACTTTATTTAAGTACTTCGTGAGCTTTGTTACTCTGTAATGTCTTGTGGTGGTAGAGCCTGTAAAAGGAACTAGGGTTGATAGGTTCTAACGAGTAGGGACACCATACTTCTCATGCCTAATGCCTATGAGTCGACTAATAAATGACAACTACAGATTTATTATTGCAGAATTTGTACTAAATAGAAAAGTTCCAGATATTCTTCTACGTATTGAGATACTTCATTTAAATGAATTATAAAGAAATTTATATGGAAAAATATTTAGCTGGATCTGCCTTGGATTGTTTCCAAGGCAGCTTCAAGCCATCGATTAACACTATAACAATCACAAAACATTACAGTAATTTGCATTTAATGTAACATCCAGGCAATGGTGTAGGAATGACCTTCAGTCCGATGGGTGCGATGCAAACAGGAAAGGCTTTGGAAAAGGACAATCTTGTGCTTTTTTGCATCTCTTCATTTCAAATTCCTTTTGTTTCCGTGCTTGTCACTTTCGGACAGTTACAAAATTGGGGAACTTTGTGGTTCCAAACCCAAGAGTAGCTCAGTTCCTACCAGAACAGTCATTTGCATCTTTTCCATTGACTGAGAAACCAGGAATCTTTAGTAGAACTCTAGGTCCATTTTGTTGTCTTAGGGTCTGCTGGGGATGGACACTACAGGCTGGCAGTGCAGCAGGCACCGTGGGGTGGGAGCAGAGCTGCTCCTGCAGGAAGCACCGTTCTGTGCAGGATGGATGGCAAACTTGGCTTTACCCCGTGCTGATGAAGGTCCCGTTCATGTCACGTAATGTCCACTCCCGAGGGGGCTGCTGGGTGCCACAGAGGGTTGGTGGAGCTGCAGGTGGCCCCTCTCCGAGTGCAAACCAAAGTACCTTTCCACGTGAGGTGCTTGTCTGAGTTAAAGGTTTCAAATGCTACTGCTTTCAGTATTGCTTAGTGCCCCCAACATGTCTGGTGTGCCTTATGCCTTACTTTTAGATGAAGATTTTATGAACTGTTTACAAGATGTTTTACAGCAGGACCAGGTATACTGTATGCAGTGGTCTTCTGCAGTACTTGGGTAAAATTCCATTTCCTTTTTCAAAGTCCCAGTGTCTATCACACAAACTGACTCATCGTGGTGGTCTCCTTCCCCAGAGTCCAACTCTGAATCCTTTGGAGTGAGATTGTGGAATGCTGCTTTGTTTTCTCTCCCATTGAACCCTTTATTCTGTACCAGATATGAACGTGCATGTTCAGGAAAATTATTGCACTAAATTTTTTGTGTAGGTGTAGTTAAGTGCCAAAATCACGGCAACCTCGAGAGAAGGAATAGAATTCTACGCTCCTTAGTACTGCAGTATGTCCTATGGGCTTTAAGAGTTTAGAAGTTTTGCAAATTAGTAACCTACTACAAGGTAGCTGCATCTTCGTAGAGCTTCCTTTGCGTCCCAGCGTGTTTTGTACTTCCAGAAAAGCTTTGCTACGTCCGGATTGATAAACGGGGAACAGACCTGGGGCTCTCCCTGACTCGACTCTTCAGGTCTGTCCCAGCATCCTTTTTATGGAATCACTGTGCAAGGTCACCTTTCTGTTAGTCTTTGCTGTTGGAGACAGAACTCTGTACCCTCAAACTCCCCGCCGTGGGCATGGGACACTGTCAGCTGTGTTTCCTTTCCTCCTCTGAAGTGCCTCGCACACCTCTGACGCTGAGAAATCCCTTGGTAGAAGTTGCATTCGTGGGTGGGTTTGTGTGTAGTGCTGCACTAGCCAGCGTGGCTGTTCTTGGCTTGCTCCTTTGTGCACAGTCACCATTGCTGTCAGCAGGAATGGTGGCATCTCGGGGAATTTTTTTTCCTTTAACTGGAGTCTCACAAATACCTTTCGGTGTCACCAAAATTGGCCCCTTGAAAACGCATTGCTTATCCCTAGAGCAGTGGATCTTAGAAATTGGCTTTAAACATCCAGAAGGCTTTTTTAGCATGGTGTCCAAGTGTGGACCTGAGCTGGTTGGAAGTGTCCCAGCTGAAGGGTGAACTCCATGGTGGCATATCCTCTGCAGTGCTGTCCCAGGCGTTGTGTCCGTGCTGGGAAATGCCTTGTGCAGCTGGGGCTGGTGCAAACAGATCAGTTCAAACCTCACAATTCCAAAAGCATATCTCCATTTGGGATTGACCCTTGTTTCCAAGAGGAAAGTTCTGTACTTGATCAGATTTTATAGCCAAAAAATAAAGCAAATAAGTCCTAGGCTTCCATCCTTCTGCCAAAGCAGGAGGGCTCTGTCCCTGTCCTGGACAGCTCCCAGCACCACAGGGGGAGTGCAGGTCACAGGAGTGACTAAGGAGGGACTCCCCAATCCTGGCTTCCCAAATGATTCCCTGGGCAGGGAATATGGATCAATACATATCAATACTGTAATTTGAATTCCCTTGCTGATCATGGCCCCAGTTGGTGAATCTTATAAATGGCTCAATCAGACTAGGCTTGCTCAGCTATCTGTGCTGTTTGACTTTGCTCTCAGACTTGCAGGTTCCAGGTGATAAAGGTGCAAACCATTTATAATTCCAAACAAATCTTCAGGACCCCAGAGTAAACCAGCCCAAGAGTTTTGTTTTGATTTGAATCTCAGCCATAAAGCAGAGCAGACGGATGGCTCTCCTTGGCTTCGATGGCAGTATGCAATTTGTATTGTATGTGTCTTTTAATATATATGTATATATATATGACTCAGTCTGTCCAAAGTATATGTTATACTTGTTTTTAGATTATGGTGCAACTGACTATATTGATATATTATTTATTGAGTGCTGAGTCACCATCTTATTGGTGATAAATATTGCATATTATCCAGGAGTGCAATGTATATTCCTTTAGATTGCTGAGGCTTGATTGCTGTGGTAACAAAAAATGCCCTGAAATGTATTTATGAATGGCCCCAACACACAGAGAGTCAGAATTTATGGGAATGATGTAGCACTTGCCTGGGGCAAGTAAAATAAAGCCGTAGGCAGAGAATTATGGAGTTTGCCCAAAAGGCAAACTGCTGGAAAGAGAAAGAAACTACCTTTGCTGTATTTAATGTCATTTTCCGAACAGATTTTTGCTGTCACTGCAGTGTTTCCATTGAGGCAGATCCACAAGGGCCTGAGCAAGTCAAGTTTGAATTACCCATTGGGGAGTAAACAACTTTCCAAATTCTTACCTTCACGACAAATCCTTGGGTCAGGGTTGAAACTTCTCCCTGTGATGTGTCAGTGTTCTGGAAATCCCCTGTTCCGAGCAGCAGCAGCAGCGAGGTCAGTGCTGGGCATCCTGAAGGACAGAGAGGAGCCAGAGCTTTGCTCACCCAACCAGAGCAGTTCTGGGGGGGTTCCAGAGCAGGCGGTGGTCTCGGTGTGCCCGAGGCTCCGGGGCTGGGGCTGGGCTGCCCCTGGGGAGGGAAGGGGTTATGGTGCCCCCGGGCAGCTCAGCTCAGCCCCTGTGTGTCCTGGGCAGCTCCGCTCAGCCCCTGTGTGTCCTGGGCAGCTCAGCTCAGCCCCTGTGTGTCCTGGGAGCTGCTCCAGCTCCCAGCCGGGCTCTTGGTGTGCCCGTGCTCTCCCTGCTTCAATCCCACCTGGGAGCTCAATTCCGTGTGCCCGTTCTGGGGCAGCCCTCCCTGCCTCCAGCCCTGCCCTGGCTCCTGGCGCTGCCTTGGCATTCCACATCCCAAACTACTCCAAGGACCAGGCATGACTTTCCAAGCACAGTTCCTGACATTTGTATCTGGTCCCCCTTTTAAATTGTTTAAAAAAAAAATTTTGTATATGGAGGATAAAGTGCTTATATATTTATTAAAAATCCTTTATCTTATTTGAAATTATTATTTGGTGAAGAAGGGGTTTTTCTTTTGGGGGAGGGCTGGGGAGGGGAGGTAACTTTTAACCTGTCACTTATAAATGAAGCCCTGATTAATCCTACAGAAAGGTACTGTTAGTAACTAATGGGATGTCTCTGTTTTATGCTTTGTACATGACAAGTCCATGTGTTACATTTTGTTTTCTATCAAAAGATTTGGGCATCTGTCTTCAACCAAAACCAGAAAAAATAGAAACAAACTGTGATTTTATTTGTTGCAATACATTTGAAATTTCAAAGGGTACTTTGGGGCTCAAAATTAGGATTTCTAAGTCAGTATGTGCATTTCACGTAATAAAGCTGTTAATGGTGAGCAAAGTATTATATACTAACTAGATTTTTTCCACATCTGTATAGTATATTCTATGTATTTTGTGGTATTGAGATTATAGAAAGTTTAGTGTCTGAAACATGCGTTTAATGTGTATTTTTAAACAAATTTATGGCAATTAAAATATTTGGAGAAAAGGGTATCACATTTCAATTTGTAAAGATCTTTTTAACTACTGTGTCATTAAAATGCTTTGTACAATGCAAAACTGTAACTGGAGAAACTAAGTTTAATAAATATCAAATAGATTTTCTGTATTAAACTTCCAACCCCCTTTGCTTGTATCTGTTTTGTGGGGCCTTCTCCTCCCTGGAAGTGCATTTTGAGGCAGAATTTTCTTTCCTTGATCCTACTGTTCTGTGAAACAAAAGAAAAGTAGCATCCAATGTGTGTGTCCAGACTTGCTGATATTTTTTTTTTGTCTTTCAGCCTCCAAGTCAACATCCAACACATCAAAACATCATTTTGGTCAATTCATTTTAAGACAGGAGAGAAGGTCAGTGGCAAAAGTCAGTCTAGGACATGTATTTAAGTAATTTTGAATAGAAGTAATTAAAAGTAAATAGTTCTCAATCCACCTATTGCTGGGTATATTTGGGATATTGGAATTGCTATCAGTATTATCAGTTTGGCTCCCTCTTTCCAACAGGCCTTTATCAGAGGGCTGATAAGAGCTGATAAGAGCTGGATTGGGAGGAGATGGGGCCTGATCTACTTGATGCTCTTGCCAGGGGGAAGGATAAATGTCCAAAGTCTGGCTGGAACTGAGCCCCAGGTCTGTGCTCACCATCCATGTGCCCAAGATACAAGGAAAACCAAGCTGCTTTGCTGAATATATATTTTAATTCTCACCTTCAAATAAATAATAGGAAGCGTTACAAAAAAACCAAACGAGGAGGAGATGCAGAGCCCTTTTATTGAGCTTGGCCAGAGGCCTCCAGAGGCGTGGCTGTGGGAGGAGATGCTCTCGAGCTCCTTCAAGTCCTTTCATCAGCACATGTGACAGAAATATTAAATCCTCTGATTGCTGGAGGCCCTTGCAGCTCCTGAGCAGTCAATAAATACATCCCAAGGGTGTGCAGCAGGGGCAGCAGTAACAGTGCAGGCTGTGCTTGGTGCCAGCTCACGCCGAGGCCGTGGAGAGGAGGCAGCGATTTTTCCTGGGGGAAGAAACCCATCATGAGGCACTGAGGGCTGGGGCTGTCCTGCCAGGCTCAGCCAGGGGTCCCAGGTACATTTGTGCCCCTGTGCCAGCAGTGCTGGGTTCAGGCACTCTATTCCCCTCAGCTATTCAGTCTTAATTCATTTTTTGGTCTTTGCTTTCCATCAGAATTCCAAACATAGCATAGCAGCCCCAACCACCCTGTCCTATTTACTTACTTATCCTGGTAATTTATAATATAAAATAAGCTTACTTATAATAATTCCATTAATAGTAGGACATCCATATAGTGTATTATCTATATATTATACTATATATAGTATATAATATTTATTAAGAATAGGATATACTTATCCATTAGTGCTATTTACGTATAGTAGAAAATGACTATTTTCTATCTTGTCTCCGAGTGCTGGTGTATCTGTACAACAGGTGCCATACAAAATCACCTTTCAGTCCTTAAGTAATAATTTTAACTAATCAATTTATATGTTATTGGACAATTTGCTCATGCCTAATGAGAACTAAATAGCTTTTGATATTGTAGTTGCTTTCTAAACTAGGAGCTTAAATAATCACCTTGAAGTGATTAATTTAGGGTAAGATATTAATAGAAGATTTTTCACTTTTTGTTAGTACATGCTTTACAAGGAAGGATTAATGGGAAGGTCTATAAATGGCCCAAAAGCTGTCTGGAGCCCTCTGTTCTCTTTGCCCAGCCAGGTTATTTGGGGTTGCAGTGAAAGGACTGGGGCTGGCACTCGGGAGTCCTGGACTCTGCTCTGTTTGTTCTGCTTACTAAAGAGTCTGAGTCTGTTACCCCATCTATTCCTGGTATCTTTTGTATGCCCAGAGTGACCTCTGGATGCCGTTTGGAGAGCCCAGGTGGGAAGCTGAGCGTGGTTACCTGCAGAGCATGGTGAGGCACTCGCTGTTGTCTCGGCACGAGGCTCCGATGGGTCTCAGGGACACCCCTCTCCAGAAGGGCGTCATCCGCCGCTGCCGGGGGCTGCGGGGCTGCCTCGGGGACAGGGACACGCCGTGGCTCTGGAACAGAACAGAGGACCTTCAGCACACGTGGCAGCTGCAGCCCTCCCTTCTGCTGCTGCTGAGGCCAGCAGTCTTCATTGTAAGTGAAGCACTTTGAAATCTTCCTGGTTTTCAGATAGCAGTACCCGCTGGGTAAAGCACGGCTTGCAGCCCAACCCCGAAGAAATACCTACCCAAATTAATGATGGTTTTAATCTTCTTGGGAGTGAAGGCAGAATCACTGGCTAAGCTATGGCCCAGAGTAGCCCAGTATTCACTAGGCAGTAACTCTTACATTTTTATGATGTTGAATCCTGTAAAAAGCCCTGCTGTCACCTCTTAACTCCTGCCAGTTGTCCATCCAAATCACAACAGCTTTTATGGACTGCCTGTCCTTTGAATTAGCCCTTTAAATAGTTTATTTCAGTATGATCTCAGTTTACCTGGCTGAGCAGCAGTGAGCAGAGCAGAAGGGCTGCCATCACTTTCCACCAGTGCATCTTCCCAGAGGGAGCTGTCACTTGGAGCAGCCGTGGGCAGAGGAGGCACAAAGAGCTCCAGTCAGGACTTCCCAGGCTGTCAGCCACATTTTTATAGACTTCATTCTCTTATCGTTGCATCACCTGCCAGTTATTACAGGAGCAAAGTTCGCTTTGGAGCAAGGGAGAATTGCTAAGTCTACATCTGCTGCAGTGATCTGGTTCAAGGCCTATCTCGAGCTAATGATTTACTCCCCTTCCACTTGTACTTTGTCTGGTCAGTTGTGCTGACCTCTTGTGCCAGCTGTTCCTTTTTTTAAATTTCTCCTAAGATGTTACCAGAACTCCATGGTCTATTTGTAAGCAAAAGGGGGGTGGCCCAAATTATTGTGGTCAAGATCAAAAGCCTGATTTAACTTCTATAGCTCTGAGTTAGCCAACCAGGGGTAAGGGTTGTCTTACCAAGCTGATTTGGAGCAGAGAGCTGTACTTTTGATTTGTTTCTCACTCTTGCTACATGAAAGAACCATAAGGAAGTTGCTTAACCTTTATTTCCAGGCACACAGTGCTCAAAAAGCAGGTGTAACACTTTCCAGCTGGGTTTGGGAATGCAAAATGTGTGATAACTCACAGAGCTCTTGCAAGGTGTCAAAGATAATCATCTCTAGGCAGATAATGGAAAAGGCTGCTCAGGGCTTGTCTGGAGCTGAGAAGCTCCATGTGCAGACTGTGGTTTCATGGATGAGCCATCTCTGCCCCAAGCTGTGTCACTCAGCATCAGGCTTCCAAAAGGGCCAGCAGCTCCCATGGGGGTGGAGGGGCTCATTGTCATCAAGAGGAAACTTCAGTTTTTCCATTGTGGAGTGAGATTGCAGCAGCAGCAGAGGAAAGTGTGGGCACAGCTGGTACCTCTCATCTCTCCCCTCTGCCTACACACTTGTGCTTGTCCCAGTGTCTCATGGCTCCTCACCTGGGGGATCTTGTGGATCTCGTTGGATGGGGCTTGGAGCAACCTGGGCTAGTGAAGGGTGGGGGGAGCTGCAGGAGCTTTAAGGGCCTTTCCGACCCAAACCACACTGTGCTTCTGTCTGGTACCCACATCTGTCGGGTCAAGACATCTGCGACTGCAGAGTTATGTAGAGAATTCCAACTTGTGTCACCATGTGCAGGTTTTGGAATACAGAATTCAAGTAAATACTTTATAAAGTAAAAAGTGTATAATGAACTGTTTTAGCTAAATTGTAAATACAGATCTGGATGTCACGGGCTCTATTTCTCTGATTGCTTAATATGAAGGCAGAAGTGCCAGCGTGGAGGGCAAGTGACTTAGATTAAGATAATGCTGTGATGTCAGATGATTACCCCTTAGCCCAAATTTCATTGGGATTAAAAGAAAAACCTTTCCAGCAAAGTGTACAACACTATTTTATCTTTCCCATCATAGGATGGTTCTTACACACCTTCCTCTGCCCTACTTATTTTGCTTCTCTGGGAGGAGGAAGCAAAATTTTCATTATTTCACCTTTTTGGATCTTAAGAAGGGAAGAAAATGGGACAGTAAATCATGACAGACAAGTAGCTGAACTTAAAAAGTTTATTTTTTATTTGGCTGGGAATTTCTCAGTTGTTTTTCCCATGGAGTCCTTCGTTCATCTCAGTTCTAATTTCTGCTGTTCCATCAGGCATTAATGTGGAACACAAAGGAGGACAAGCACCAGGAGCCCTGACTTCTTCCATGAAGCTCAGGATTTGGAAGAGCAGCAGAGCCTTCTGTAAGTCATCCTCTCAGCTTTGTTGGCTGGGGAAGTCTGGTACTTTGTGATGATAGATCAGAATTGTTGTCTGTCCTTCTGGGTCACTAATAGCATCAGACTGTCCCTGTCAGGCAGAAAAGTGCTCTGTGCAAGAAACTGGGGAAAAAAAAAAAAGAGTATAACTGAGCTGCTCCTTTCCATGCCCTCACTTCCCCCAGGGCGGGAAGACACCACAGAGATGTGAGGAAAGAAACACAAAATGTTGCTCTGTTGCCACTTCTAATAATTGCCCAAAGGAGAACAGAAATTAATGAGTGAAAACTTCTCAAGCCCCTTGTTCAGATTCTGAAATGCCCATGGGTCGAACTCCCACTGCCACAGGGCTGGCAGGAGCCATCCCAGCCGGGAATGGGGCCTGCATCCCAGGTGGAGGTTGGCAAGGCAGGGTCGGGATGGGTGGGAAGGTTTGGGATGGGTGGGCACGGTCACAGGATGGCAGGGCAGGGTCGGGATGGGTGGGAAGGTTTGGGATGGGTGGGCACGGTCACAGGATGGCAGGGCAGGGTTGGGATGGGTGGGAAGGTTTGGGATGGGTGGGCACGGTCACAGGATGGCAGGGCAGGGTTGGGATGGGTGGGAAGGTTTGGGATGGGTGGGCACGGTCACAGGATGGCAGGGCAGGTTTGGGATGGCTGGGCAGGGGCGGGATGGGGCAGGGGCAGGATGGGGCAGGGGCAGGGGCAGGATGGGGCAGGGGCAGGGGCAGGGGATGGCTGGGCAGGGTAGCAGCAGGCTGCTGCTGCTGGAGCAGCTCGGTGCTGTCCCTGTCCCTCGGGCTGACCCTGGCCAGGGCCGGCGCGTGGCCGCAGTGCCGCTGCCCCTCTGTTTGCCTTAGTCTGGCCCCTGGGCCAGGCGCAGTTCAGCCGTCTGTGAGAGGAGCAGGGACCTCGTGAGAGCCCCGGGCAGCCGCTGGGACAAACACAGGGACAGAGCTGCTGAGGCACAGTGTCACAGGGGCTGGGTGAGGCCACCCAGCTCTGCGGCTCTCGGAGGCACCGTGAGCAGGACACCACGTTCCGAATGGAACATCTCAGGGAGAGGGACTTTTCTGCAGGCACAGTGACAGACCAGGAGGAATGGCTCCAGACTGCCAGAGGGCAGGGTTAGATGGGGTACTGGGAAGGAATTGATCCCTGTGAGGCCCTGACACACATTTCCCAGAGCAGCTGTGGCTGCCCCTGCATCCCTGCAAGTGTCCAAGGCCAGGCTGGACAGGGCTGGGAGCAGCCTGGGACAGGGGAGGGTGTCCCTGCCATGGCAGGGGTGACACTGGATGAGCTTTGAGGTCTCTTCAGGGATAAATCTGTCTCTATACATCTCTGCCAGCTCACAGCAGCCAGCTTGCTCCCCACTTGCTTAAGCTGCCTAGAAAATACCAGTGACCCAAAATGCAGCTAAGCACGGAATATTTTTGGGACAGCTTGGGAGCACTGGCTGATTGATTTTATTGCTGCTTATGCCAGCCTCAGGCTGTGCTTGGAGGCAACACAAGAGGCTGAGCTCAGTCTCACGTGCTCTGCTCCCCAAAATACTCCAGCACTGAGCTATAAAAATTGCATCGCTCCAGCTTCCTGAAGTGAGAGCCTGAGCATCATTGTCTGCCTGACAGGCCCGCCCTAAGCACACAGGGAAGCGTCATTCCTGCCCTGCAGATAAGATAAACTCCCAGGACAGCTCCTGGAATAGCACAGCAGGAACACGAACGTGTTGCTCTGCATGGGGTGGGAGCTGGAGGCAGTCAGAGGAACATTGGGAGGAAAAAATTTAAGATAAAGGAACCAGCCAGGTGTTCTGAGCTTCCAACAGTGAAGGTGTTTCTGTACTCAGAGACATGGTAAATTTGTCACCCTGTGTCAACTTTATTACCAGCAGCTGATTTTTTAATCATCTTCAGGCATTAAAGTCTTGCTTCTCCTGGCAATTTTCAAGAAGGTTCTGATGCAGTCTCTTAACTGCTGATCAGATATCAGAGTGTTGTTAATTACCCAGTTAAGATTAGCATAACTAGGTAATTAGAATCACAGGATCAGAGAACAGCCCAGGTTGGAAGGGACCTTGGCAGATCAGCTGGTGCAGACATTTTTGGGAAGCGAGCCCAGAGGAGGTTACCTGGCACCTCGTCCAGTCACCTCCTGAAACTGCCAGGCTGTTCCAGGGACGGATTGTTCTCACTGGAAAAAATTCCTTTGTTACACAGAGATGAAACCTCTCCTGGTGCAGCCTGTACCTGTTCCCCTTCATCTTCTGCCCGGGGCTCCTGTGAAGAGCGAGCCTCCGGCCAGAGGTCAGGGTCCACCCCAAATCCCAAGCCACCAGCCAGCCCATCCAGCTTTAATCAATACCAAACTAGGCAGTGTTTGTTTTTCACACACCTCAAGGCTGGAGAGAAGCAGCGGCCAGTGATGGGAAAAATAAAGGGGACAAGGAACAATTTCAAACTAGCCCTTGCTGCACTTTATAGTGAGGAATATTTCAAAGAAACAGGAATTACGAAAGCTGGAAGTGCTCTAAGATAAAACATCCGAGCACATGGAACTTCAGCCTGATTATCTGCCTGTACAGAGAGAACCAGACAAGGGATTTAATGCTTCTCACCTCAAACAGCTCAAGACACGCATTTCACACAGAGTCATGGGGCAAAGTTACAGTTTATTAGCCAAGGCTTATCTCCTGTTAATCCCCTCCGGCCATGGGAACAGCACAGCAGGTCCCCGGGGAGCTCTGCTCTGGTCACTGGTCACTGCTCCTGGTCACTGGTTGTGCTCGTAGTCAGCCGGGTTCTTCCTCTTGAGCCGCTCGAACTCCTGCGTCCCCCAGGAATAAATGAGGTAACCGAGGGCCAGCGCTGGCAGGGACAGAGGAAGGCACAGTCAGGGGACACCACAGCGAGGGGACACTGCTAGAAAGGGACACTCCATAACGGGACAGTGGAACGAGGGAACACTGCTCTGAGGGAATAGTGCAGCGAGGGGACACTGCAGTAAGGGGGCATTCACTTATGCCATTCACTGTGCAATGAAGTGGCATACGATGACGGGACACCTATAGAAAGACACTGCAATAAGGGGATTTCACAACACGGGGACACTGGGAGAATGGAATATTCACAGTATGGGGACATCGCAGTGAAGGGACACTGCACCGCGCACAGCACCTACCTCCTGCGACACAGCAACATCCCCACAACCCCACCTGCCCAAATGCTCCCCCTCCCCAAATCTGCACTACGAAGGGGGTAAAAAAAGAGATATTTCCCCCCCTGTACTCACGGGGCACCACTCTCAACACCTGGGAGGCGAAGCGGCGGGCCACGTTGGGGACGCCGTGGGACACGGCATTGGGGAAGGCTTGCTGCTCGAAGGGCGACAGGCTGTAGGAGATGACATGGCGCACCCGCGCCAGGTTCCCGAAGTGCTTCCCCATGGCCGCGGTGTCCCCTCGGTCACCGCGCAATGGCCGCCGCCCGCCCCGGAACTGCCTCGGCGAGGCCTTGCGAGGCTTTCCGGGGCACCGCGAGCTGCGTTTTCCGTTTGTAATAAACGTGAGAGGCGGTGAAATACGTGTGCGATAAATCGCAGTTTATCTAAAGTGTGTTTTTAACAGATTTGTAATAAATGATTTGCGCCATAAGCGGACCCTGCCCTGAGGGGAATGGGGGGGGGGTACGCGAGGCACCTGCGCCGTGAGGGGGGCGGTGCCTCAGCGCGGGAAACCCGCCAAAAACAAATAATGGAGAAAAAACCCCACTTTTGTGTGGTGATTGTAGAGTTCCGGTGGAAAATAAGTAATGGTCTGAGGAAAACCCCCACTTTTGTGTGGCGATTATGGAGCTCCGATGGAAAATAAATAATGTTCTGAGGAAAACCCCCACTTTTGTGTGGCGATTGTGGAATTCCGCGGAAGTGTCTGAAGCAGAATATCGTGGAATTATGGAAGAGTCGGCGCTGGAAAAGGATTTTAAAGGTTAAATATCCTGCCACACCCCACCCCCCAATAAACAATAGTGGAATTATTATTAGAATGCATGACACACCTACCACATAACTGAAATTACTATTAGACTATATTAGATATCTTCAATATTACTGGAGTGATTAATAGAGCCTATTATAATTTTTAGACTATATTAGACATATTCCATACTATTTGAATTATAGAATACATTCAACATCGAACTTACTTAAATTATTATTAGACTATATTAGAGATCATAATTATTGCAATTATAATTAGCATATATTAGAATTATAATACTATAGCAGCTTCAGCTTCCACATTAATGGATAATTATTAGAATTACTATAATATAATTAATCATCTTCCACATAATTGAAATTATTAGAAGATACTAGAATTGTTAGGTATATTTAACATTATTGGAATTATTATTAGAAGACATGAGAATGGTTAGAATATTAGACATTTTCACCATGATTGGAATGATAGTAGAATTATTAGACTGTATTAGGCACCTTCAACTTTATTTGGATCATTATGCTATATTAGACATATTTTCCATTATTTAAACTAATATATTACAATATATTCGTTTTGTTTGAATATGTTAAACATCTTCAGCATTTTTGGAATTATTATTAGAATATATTAGGTTCAACATTGTTGGTATTATTACAATATATTACACATATTTAACATATTATTACTGGAATTATTATACTATATTGAAGATGATACCCATTGATGGAATATTACAATATATTAGGACAATTGGGCTACATTAGACATTTCACCATAATTAGAAAGGTTTGTCTCAGGAAACAATTCCATTTATTTTCTTTTCTGGCAGGTGAGCAAAGCCAAATTCCCAGAGTTTGAAGGGATGAGCAGGAGTGATACAATCCAAACTGACCCAGCCACCCACAGTGCTGACACCAGGATAGTTTTATGTGACACCAGGATTCTGCTTTGAGCTTTTGGTGTCAACCTCTTTGATTTCAGCAGTCAGAGACTGAAACCTGGAGCAGGAGCCTCACTTTTTGGGCAGATTTGTGCCTGTTGCACCTCCACCAGCTCTCCAGACACCCCACCCTCCCTGGGTTCAGTGACCAGGTGAACCATCAGTGACACCACTCAGCATCCCTGCCCTGCCAGACTGAGTTCCCAGCCTCTGGAATTGCTCAGGATCTCAGGTAGGGGCTGGTTGTGTGGCTGAGTGCAGAAAGTTACAGCATTTATTCATTAATCCATTAGCAAGTCAATGTTAAAGGATGTTCTGAGCAGGTTTTACAATATAGTGCTGCTCCATATCCTTTAATTAACAAGCAAACCAGAAAAATCCCCACTAAAGCTGAGAAGTTTTGTGTATGAACCCCAAGTCCAGGAGGAGAAAATAAATCATAATAAATCAATTACAGTAAAAATTTGGTGTGGAAGCATCTAGAGTTGAGGCACTTGTTACCTACAGTTTCATTGTGAGAGGAAACAAAGCTGTGGCCCCACATTTCAGAATATTAAGCCCACCGAACAGTATTTTCATCAACACATTTAAGGCTTTTAGAAGCCATTTTTGGGGATTAAGCTTTTTAAACAAATCTTCCTACATCAGAAGCCAGTAGCCGTGTGGCTCTAGTGGACAATCCTCTGCCCTCACCCCATGGACAGCTGCTCCTTATTCTCAAATCAAAGAAAGCCTCACCTGATGCCAATTTTTACCAGAATAGTGCTTTCATTTAAGTGTTCACAAATTACCCAGAGCTGCCCTTAAATTCTTACCCTTCTTTTAGCTGAGAAAGCCCAAAGAGTGCAACAGAATAAAAGCAAAAAACAACCTGTTAACTCTTTACAGAACTGTGAGGAAGGGTTTTGTCACCGTGCCTGGAAGAGCTGGAATGTGGTAGGGGAAGGAGAATGAAAAACTGAAGAAATTATTCTAACATTAAAGACTTTCTCCCTTTCCTAGTCATTTTTGGAGATGCCACACACAAGGTTTCTTTAGAGGCAGAGTAGCAGGCACAGCATGTCAGGGTATGAGTGATAGCCATTTATTTATCTCTTTTTGTAATAAATCAGCTTAAAAATAGACATTTAGTAGTTGAACCTTTTCCCCCATTTTAAGTGCAAAATTCTCCCGATAAAAAGACTCTGTTTACATTGAATTGCACATTCTAGAAAGACTGAGTGAGTACAAAAATCGGTGCTCTGATGTGAACCCCGTTTTGTGTTCGGGAGTGCAGACCTCGCCCAAAGCCGGTCCCGCTAGCGGCAGGTGCACTTGGTGGCGATCATGTCCTCGTACTCCTTGTAGACGATGGAGCCGTCGGGCTCGATGGTCAGCACGCTGAGCGGGCTGTAGGCGGCCGGCACGCACGAGGGCCTGGGCACCGAGGGGTCCAGCCGCTCGTAGATGAGGGTCTGCACCATGGTGTGCACCGGGGAGCCGTAGCGGTGGCCCAGGGCGCGGGGACATTCCCCCCGGCAGAACTGCGGGCTGTAGCGGTGCGGGGCGATGATCCAGCGGTCCCACCGCAGCTGGCTGAAGCTCAGGCGGAAGCTGTGCAGCTCGCACTCGTTCTGAGGGAACACAAACTGCTTCAGGTACTCGCTCAGGTTACGAGCTGAGGTGGCCGGAGCCGCTTTGGGATTCTCGTTCCTTCGCTGGCGAGAGGCCCTTTTACCCTGGGGATTGCCTTGTCCTCTGTCACCCTTTGGAGGATCCACAAGCGGGCTGCTACTTTTCCTCCCGTGCCTCAGTGAGCTCCCCCGGTGATAAGCTTGCTCGCTGGTGTCATTCAGGTACAGCAGAAGGGAAGGGGGAACCAGTGTCACATTAACAGCGTTTTCCAGTTTCGTGCTCCCTTGTGGGTCACCCATCAGACAAGTGAAGTTCAGAGCCATATGGACGTTCCTCCTGTTCATAGCAATCAGAGGCTGGAGGAAAGAAGTCACATCCATCTCCACCCATTTGCGTTTTCTAACGTCAAAGTGCAGGCTAAAAGCTAGAGAGTGGGAAATGCTGGGACAGACTTGGCTGGAAAAATCATGTTCCTTAAGAGATAAATGGCACATGCAGGTGATGGAAGAGGAAATGGGAACAGATGTGTCAAAGGAATAGAGCAAGACAGATTTGAGTAAGTGCTCCAGAGCAGTAACACGATCCAAGTTGAAGAGAAAATCCACTGAGTGAACATCTCCTGGGAAGGGAAACAGATTCCTGTAGTATTAGTGTGTCTTATTTTTCCACCTAGACATAAATACTGTTGTAGTGGATAAGTAAAATTTATTCAGCAGCATAAGAAAACAATTTCTATGCCCTCCCTTACATTTACTATGTGAAATTTCTACTTTGGTCAGGGACATACAAGTAAAAATTAAGAAATTTTTAAAAACGAAAGAAAACCCCTGATTTTAACAGTTATTCGAATTCATTTCTCTAAAAGAACCAGCACAAGAGAAAGCCGGTGCTGGTGAGGGGTAACAGGACCTAAACACTCTAGATGATACAAACCATAAAATCCACCTTAAAGGCCTGTTCCTCTGCAGCAGCACAATGCTTGTATCTGTCTTTCTAGTGAAAAGCCCGAGTCCAGAGAACTCAGTCACCTCAGCAGGATTAACAGCCAACAATTTCTAGGTGCTGTTGTGATTGGCCCACATTTAAGAAAGCCATGGAAGCACCATAAGTTACAGTATTCCCAGCCATCCCGGTTCTGAGCCTGATTTGAGAGTAACTCTACTCTTCCCTTCAGGTTTAGGTCATGATTCTTCTCTAGCAAATGTAGCAGGCAAGGAGAGGAGTCTCTGGCAGTGGGTTCTGGCAGCTTGGTACAAGTCTCATACCAGTGCTGTAATTCTTGGAAAAAAAGCAAAGCCAAGATGGGCTGTAGAAGGAAATGTGCTGCCCATTAGGCCTCAACATTTTTTCCATTTTTCTTACTTCACTCAGATCTGCTCGTGGCTTTTTCTGACTCATGAGGAGATGAGTCAGCCCAAAACATCAGCATGTCTTGTACATACCACTTGTGTGGTGTTCCCCAGCCTGTGAAGTCTGTACCTAATGCCACTCAAAGACAAGTAGGCTATGAAAAACTCCTCCAGTTCAGGAGAAGAGCCTCCAGGACTAAAATAGCAGCAGCTCTAAAGGAAGGAGGTATTTTTATCTGGTGCTGCGGGCACAGGAGACGCAGAAACCCCGCGTACCCTTCTTCCCAGCAGCGCCACACTCCTACCTTTGCCCAGGTGCGCGGGGCGGTGCTCGCATTCCCAGCACGGGGTGAAGAGCCGCACCGTGTTATAGAGGCGGCCTCGCTGCGCCTTGGGGATGCCGTCCCTGGTGGCAGACATCCTGTACAGCCTCTTCATGTACCGAAGGGCCCTGGAATCCGGCTGCAGCCGCGGCGCCTCGCTGTGCCAGCCCCGGGGGCCGCGGTTGTGCAGCACCTTCAGCAAGGGGGGCAGGAGGGCATGGGCCGGTGCCTCGCCTTGGGGCAGCTGCAGCCCCGCGCTGAGCTGGTTCGCAGCATCCTCAGGGGCTGCCAAAAACCCAGGGGCCTCCGCAGAGTCCTCCCAACCCCTGGAGCGGGGTGAGAACTGGGTGCCAGCAGAGAGCCAGGGCAAGCAGCAGGACAAACAGACACAAATCCTCCAAGTGCTCTCCATGCTCTTGAGGGCTGCGGATGGAAAATAAAAAAAACCAAACCTCCCCTCAAGTATTCGAGGAAAAACAAAAGTGCCTGAGCCCCATCCCTTATATAGGTTGCAGCTGTGGAATGTGAGGGAGGTTTCCTTCTGATTAGGAAGCAAAGAGAAATATCTGCAGCTGGCCCCTGAAGCCACAGGTTCAGTGCAGTTGGGCTAAGTCTTGGCCCTGGGAGCTTATTATAAAGAGATAGTAATTCTGAATTAACCTTTTTCACGTGGGAAATTACAGGCTGGGAGTGAGTGCCAGCCCACAGAGGGAGCTGGGGAGGTGTTAGTGTTGCCTGGTCTAATTAATCTTGGTTTATTTGCAGGAATATATGAAGCTAAATATTACTGCTCTTAGCCTTTGGCCTCTCTCCATGTGCTGGTGAAGTAGTTTCACCAGCTCTGAGCTGAACAACCCAGCCCTCAGCTGCTCACTGGGCATAAAGTTGTGAGGTTTGTTAAGGAAGCAGGTTTGAGGCTGCTTAGAGAGCATCTTACAAGTAGCTTAATTTAGGGGTTATATCAGATGTTCTCCCTCTTGCCTTGGTGTGTTGCAGTGGAAAGCTGAGTTTGCCAAGCTTGTTACTATCTCTTTCAGCTTCCCTGGTGTATTTTCCTGCCTGAGAAGCTCTTGTTTACAAGCTGGAGAGCAAAGAAAGCCCTGAAAAATCAAAAATTGTGAAAAATGGAGTCTGCTGGTGTTACCTGCCCCGTTTGCTGCCTGAGGTGAGGTTTGAGGTTACCTGCTGTACACCAACTGTGAGTTATATTTCCAGAGTTTTTTATTGCTCCTAAATCAAATGACAGTTCTGGTCCTTCTTATAGGATCTCTGCCATGGAGTTCAGTTGTGGCTTTAAGGTAGGAGTAGGGAAATTATTTCTCGTTTTGTTTGTGTCTTGTTTATTTTACATTATTACTGGATATGGTTAAAGTGCAAGTCTGGTGCTGCAGACTCCAGAGCAAGGGGCTGGAGGTTTTTTGTAGTTGGGAAATACAAGGTATTTTGAGAAATCCCTTCTTGTCTATGTTACTTGGTATCAAGGCAGGGGCCAATTGTGGTGAGTCAGAAAGGTTGCTGAATTTACTTTGAATTACAGAATTTACTGAATTTACTTTGAATTATTAATAGAAGGTATATGGAACAAAAAGCAATAACCCCAAGCTTTACACAGCATCTGCTCAGTGCTGGCAGTGGCCCACTGGTGATTGGGCTGGTTCCCACTTCCGTCTTCCCAAAATAAGCTCTATTTATTTTTATCTTAATGGGTCAGGGCTGCAGCTCCTAAGCAGAGCGAATGGTCTCAAGGGCATCCTTTAAGTTTAAACAGGGTTTTGACTCATTTTTATGGGGGCTTTTGGAGAGGGACAATCACTCTCTGTAGGCTGCTTACAGGCTTTCAGAGTGCTTTTATGCAGGGCAATAAAAATTACTCAATTCACCATCCCACAGTAAGACTGGAGGCCTGTTGGGTGGAAAAATGCTTATTCCTTCCCATTAGTATCTCTCCAAAACCCCAAAGCACTGACACTCATCTTTGGTGAGGCACACTCCCATTGTTACTGCTGGGTTTTAAGCTGCCTCCAGCCTTGGTGTGAATTTCAGCTCTTCTGGCATTTGCTGAATCATTTTATTTGGTTACAAAGTCGTGGCTGCAAGGTCAGCGCCTAACAATGAAAGCAGTGAGTGCTCAGAAGGTAAACAAGGGGAAATCCTACCAGGCTGGGACACAGCCCTGTGCTGGGCTGGGAACTGATGGTTACCCACTTTTAGGCACTCCCACTTCTCCCCCACAGCACGTGCACAGCAACAGCAAAGGTGAATGAACCTTTAGGTGTCCTTTGTCCTGTAGGATTAAGGATGGCAAACCAGATATATTTATATAGAAATCAATTATTTATCATGCTAGTGATAAGACTAAAAATGCCTTAAACAGAATTATTTGCTACCTAGTATGGGTAGCCAGAACTACTAGTATAGTACAGTGTGTTATTTTTGAAGCAAAATTGAAGCATTTATATTAAAGTAGTTCTATTGGGGCAATTATACTAAAGATAAGAAAAAGTATTAGTTAGAGAATGGTGTTACTCATCCAGGCCAATGACTGTGGGCAAATCTCTTTGGCTCAGCCCTGAGGAGTAGCTTGAGGGGTGTCTCCACTCCAGGAGGAATCTCCACACATTCTCCAAGAGGGGTGTGTTGAAAACCCTCTGTTAAACAGTGGGCCTGGGCTGTCAGGCAGATGTGTCTGGGCCAGCCGTGCCAGCTCAGCAGTTTTGGATGAGGTGTCGGTAGCATCACTTGTTGTTCCTTTATCGGGCACTTTATCATCTACCACATTTTCACATTGCTCTCAGATGTTTAACTTTGGGACCCATGGGTCAGGCTGGTTTTAGCATTATTCACCCCAAAAGCAGCGTGAACCCCTTCTCCACTCACTGGCAGCTTTTCAAGCAGGGAATTGTTTGAGTTGTTCCCCCTCGCTCCAGGCAGAGCATCCTGAGCAGGGACTGCACCTCCAGCCCACACCTGTCCCTGAGCCAGCCCCTTCCCTGGGGACACCACGGGAGTCACAGCACGGAGGCTTCTGCTAAAAGGCAGCACAGAGGGGACAAGAGCTGCTGAATGTCCCCTGCAGTGTCTCAGTGACACAAAAAGCACTGAGCACGAGTCTCAGGCTGCTCTGATTCTCTGTGCAGTCTGTTTATTTAACAAATTGTGCTGCCAAGTGTTCTCAGCAGAGCTGTCTGGGACCCTGGTGGAGCCTGGCCTGGCTGTGCAGCACAGACAGATTTTCCATCTGCAGGAGCTTCCCAGCAGATTCTCCCCACGCTGCTGAATGAGGTCAGGCTGTCTCTGCCTTCCCCATGCTGCAGACCTGGGCACAAAACCACCCTGAACTGGGAATTCCCTGCTCCTGCCTGGAGCTGCCTGCCAGGATTGCTGTGTGTCCAAGCATCCTCTCGTCCCTGGCCCGTGTCACACCCATCCCAAAGCACAGGTGCCACGGGGTAGGAGCAGGATCAGCAGAGGAGCTGTTTCTTTTCCACACCATCTGAGGAAACCACTCTGGCTTCCCAGGCCCATCCCACTGGCATGGCAGCAAAGCCCAGGGAAGCTTTCACCTGGTTTCCTATTTCTCACGAAATGCTTTGAGCCTTTTGGCCTACACCCAGGCAGAGGGGCCCAGCAGGAGATCTGGGTTCCTACAAACTTCATAGAAACAGACAAAAAGTGAGAATTTCTATCTGACCAATATCCAGAGCTGCTCTCGCAGCAGTGTCTGGGTCTGTCCCAGCTGTGCTTACCCCAGTGCCAGAGGTGAGCCAGCTTTTCTAGAACAGCCCTTTTCCCAGGGAAATGCAAAGCTGATGATTGCACGGGTTTGGGAAGGGGGGCTGTTTCCCTGGAGGTTGTTCAGTGTCAGGAAGCTGGGGCTGGGGTGCTGGCTCTGCAGGAGCTCTGTGGGACTGTCAGCACAGCACGAAAACAGCCCTGTGCTTCCTCAGCCAAATGTTTCCAGTCCTCCCAGGAGCATCTAAGCTGGCCCCAGCTCACAAAGCCAACTCTGTACAGACTTCATTTTTATGTTAGATCCGTTCCCACCAAGTGCCAAAAGCAAGCATGGGCGAAAGCTTAAAAATAAACCACAACAGCTCTGAGAAGGATGATCTTGGGCAGAGCAAGGAATGACAATTCCAGTGCTCTCCCGATCAGCTGATGTTCTGCACCGAGCAGAAAGGATTTACTGGCTGCAGGGCGGGGTTTGGAGCCCTGCCACCAGGCACATGCCCGTCCCACGCCTGTGTGGGATCCTGGGGGGGCCAGAGCAGAAATCCACTACCAAAGATGAATCTGATCAATACCAGCCCTGGCAGCATCCCAGAGCATCCTGCTCCAGCCTCAGCTGCTACTCCTGCTGTTCCTGCCTTACCTGAAGTAATTTTGGGGGGTTGTAATTACTTTCCATGCTTAAAACAAAATCCTAATCCTTTCCCAAGACAGAAGCATTCCTGCCCTGCCACCCCGAAGACAAAGTTGTATTTTGTAGTGCACATCAGCCTGAAGAAGGGCCGAGGTACAAATTTGCATTTGCAGAGCTGCTGCGTGACTTGGTCCTTAAATTCAAGCCAGGAGTGATTCAAGTGACTTTCCACCCGTAGGACAAAGTATTCTTCCCTTTAATGCTCCAGGATAAAGTGTCAAAATTGTTCCCCAGTTGGATCAGTGTTACCCATTCCCTGCTTGTGTGGGCAGCAGAGGGGCAGCATCAATCAGAAATGATCCAGGCAGCCCCTGAGCCTTTCCTCCAGGATTGTGAGGGAGAAGGAGAAAGGGAAAAGCTCCCCAAGCATCAAGAGCTTTCCAGCCACATGTGTGTAAAACTCTTTTCCCGTGCCACGTGACTGAGGAAGAGGCACAGATCCATTACACAATAATAAAAATATGCCTTTGGCAACGTGGATCCAAAGTGGAGCTGCTGCAGGGAGCTCAAACTACGCACGAGAAGGAGTAAAACAGGAATAAAAAGGACCAAAGTCAATCCTGCACAGCCCTCCCAGGACCTGCTGTGGCAGGACGGGGCTGGGATCTGCAGCAGAACATCTGCCTGAAGCCCTGGGGGCTGCCAGCGCCTGTCAGGCTCTCACTGAGGAGATCAGGCTGGTGAGTAGATCCACTTTTCCTTTCTCTGCCTCTCCCTCGTTTTAAGGTTCACTTTGAAAACTTCCCAAATAAGGTCTAAGTCACTGAGCACTCAGGTTTCCAACGCCTGCAGAGGAATCCATAAAGGCAACAGTTGCCAGTTAAAGAAATGACACCATGAAGGAAACATTCCTCAGCCTTTGCTGGGAGCTCCCACCTCCTTCAGCCCGTCCCTGCACTGGGCAGCTGCCGAGACGGGCTTGAGCTCGGGGTTAGGAAGGGTTTGGCACAGGAATTCTTGGTGTTTCTGCTCCACACTAGGGGAGGTTTGGCACAGGAATTCCCGGTGCCTGAAGCCAGGAGAGCGCTGCAGGTTCAGGACAGAAGATGCATCCTCTGCTTTGCCTCCTTTGCCGTTGCTTTGTGCAGCAGCAGGGAACACATCAAACCCTGGTTGGTGTGCTTCCCTGGCCTCTATCAGGTAAATCTTTCCGGTGTTCTGCCACTGCTGTCACATCTGATTTCACCGAAATCAGCCTCGCACCCAAGGGCTCCTTTTTCTTCCACCCCGGGAATGCTGCAGGGCAACATCCAGAGCTGAGAATTAGGCTCGTGGGGATAATGATTATCTTGAAGATTAATTAAGACACAGTGATGTACCCTAGGAAATTGTGAGGCATGTTTTATTTGAGAAAGATGGATGTTTTATTTGAGAAAGCCTCAAATACTGGAAGGAAATAGAGAAGAAAATCACGGTGATTGCTCACTGCTGGGTCCTGATCCTGCTCCTGCCTCCCTCCAAGCAGCAATTCCCTCAGTTTCCTATTCCCACCACCACGTTGCACAGGGTGGCTTCAATGGCCAAAAAATTACCATCCAACCACTGCACGTGCCACCAAACCCTGCATCTGGCAACCCTCAGGGATTTTCCCCTGGGATCTCAGCCCAGCTGCCCTGGAAGCAGCAGAAAGTACAGCTGACCCTGACTCTTACAGGCAGGATCTTTTCTTACAGAATCACTTCTTTAATGCACAACAGGCATTGGTCATGGCCCAAAGGTCTCTAACCCTGGTGACAAAGCCATTAGTTAAAATGTCATTGGAAAATCAGCCCTGCTGCTGCACAGCCTCCTGTGCTGGGCTGGCTGCCCACACCAAGGAGAGGGGAGATGCCAATCTGCTTCCAATTTCCTTTTTGGAGCTCATCAAACCTTCTACATCGAGGAACAATTTTCCTGTTAAGGTGGAACAGCATGAGGTTTGTTCTCTTTCAAAAAGATTTCTTGAAGAGGTTATTTATAGATGCTCTTGTGGATGTGGTGGTGCTTTGCATCCCACGCACATTGCTGGGATATGGGATGAAGTGTTCTTGTGGAGCCATTAATTAGCATCAGCTCTGGAGCCGTGCCAGAGCACAGCCCCAGCTACTTGGATACTCCCCACTTATCTGGTCCCACAGACCCCCCAACCTTGGGGGATTTTGTTTGCCACTTTTTATCCCATCAGGTCAATGAGCTGGGTTGTCTCAAGGTATCAGAAGTTATTATGGTAAGAAACTGGCACAGGAGGAGCTGCCCTTCCATTCTCTGCTCCTTCTCACACCTTTCTTCTCCACATGAGGCATTCCCAGCTTTTCTCCAGGTTATGCTCCACAATGACATTTTTCCCTGCCACAGTTGTGAGTCACATCTACCTCCAGACACCTCTCACTTCTCTGCCCCGCTGGAGGGGTTCCTGGGAAGCAGGGATGCAGCTTGCCTCGTGATCTCCCACTCCACAGGCATTTTGTTTCCCTTCTCATGAACTCAGAAGCCTTCATTCAACTTTCCACATGAACACTGGGTGGTGTTTTCCATCTCACAACTCCATTAAACCAATGCCTTTCAGCAGCAGCAAATCAGAGCTGCAGAACCAAAGGGCTTAAGCAGCCAAATCCAGCCCTGGATCTGGTTTGCATTTCCTTCTCCTCTGCATGTTCTTAATTATAATATCACAGAACTGGGGGCTCCCACTGAGCATAAATATGTAGGATCAGCTGGCTGGATTTGGAGCATCTAAATATGCATTTCCACCCCTCAGGAGCTAAGAGCAGGATGAGAGCTAAGCTCAACATGGAATTTAGCCAGTGCTTTGAGCATCTTATTTGCAGTGCAGGAGTTGCATAGAACAGTACTGGGGAGCTGCAAACGCTGAGCTGCAGTGGGGAAGGGGATGAGGCTCAGCTCATCTGACAGGCAAAAGGCACTAAGGCCTGGCCCAAAGCCTGCCCAGCCTCTCTTCTGGGTCCTGCCCTGCATCACACGATGGGCTTTGTGCTTTGGAGAAACCCAGTGACCCAACCATGGGCTGGGGATTTTCACACCAAGCCCCTTGTCCTTCTTCCACTCCCCTGCTCCCAAGCAGGTGCTTTCTGCACCCTTCTGCCATTGCTCCTGGTGTTTGGGAGGAAAAGAGGCTCAGGGAGCAAAACAAAATGAGGGATGGCCACAGATACAGACTTGGAGAAGAGTAAGTTTGATAAAAATATTGGTCTGACCTAGAAAACTGCGTGAACCAAGTCCTTGGAATTGCATCACACCAAAGATCTTCCCCACTCTGCCAGGACAAGCCAAATAATCTCTCATTTTCATGCAAGTTCCTACACAGCCCATGCCAGCGGTGCCCACAGGCTGCTCCCTTGTCCCGTCTGCTCCCCACAGGCTGTGCCATGATCTCTGCTGTGCTGCTCCTCTGGACTGTGCCCTGCGTGGCAAACCACATCCTGGGGGGCTTTGCCAAGCGGGAGCTGCAGGAGGGTGCCCAGCTGGCCTGCAGCCTGCCAGGGCCCCCCGGGCCCCCCGGGCCGCCCGGCGTGCCCGGCACCCCCGGCACCGTGGGCAGGATGGGCTTCCCCGGCAAGGACGGCAAGGACGGCCAGGACGGCGACAAAGGCGAGCACGGCGATGAAGGTAAGAGAGAGGCGCTCAGCGTGACCGTGGAAAGGTGGAAGCTGTGGGGAACAGCCCCTTCACGGCTCCACTCGTGGGAAACTCCTCCGAGTGATCCCGCTGGTCCGAGGGGCTCCGGACTCACACCCTGTCCTGGCAGCTGCAGGTTCTGCTGGCTTCATTCTGGGACGCAGCGAGGTTTGCCCTGCGCTGCTCAGGGCTCTCTAGGGCAGGCAAGGAGCAATGAAGGCAAGGAGCAAGGAAAGCGAGGAGCTGCTCCCAGGAAAACCAGAGCCCCGTGAGAAAAGGCAGCCCTGTGACGGGACAGGCGCTGGCCATGCCAGACCCAGCACACAGAGCACACAGAGGTTGTGCTCTGCTTCTGCCGGGGTCAGAGGCAGCAGGAGCAGCGCTGCGCACAGCAGAGATTTCCCTCTGCCACGCTAGAGAGCACTCCTGCCTCAGCAACGCCAGCGAGCCCAGCCTGCGGCTGCCTCCCTCCTCCCTCCCCAAACCGGGAGTCTGGAGAGCAGATTTCCAGCCACAGCTGCGTTTCGATCTGCTCTTGCTAACAGCAGGTCAAGAGACACTGCATACATCCTCACGGTTTTGTTCATATCAGATACCACCGAGCCCGAATCACTGCCAGCCCAACTCCGTTCCCATCCCTAGGCAGCCCCTGGCCCCAGTGTTTGCTGGTTCATCCCCCAGCTGGGCTGGGCTGGGCTTTTAATCACATCTAGATTTACTTTTATCTTGTTTTTTACAGTCTCATGCTAAATGTTTAAAAAAAAGGCAAAGAAAAAAGAGAGACATGAGATCAAAAGTACTCACCTGCTCAATGTGAGGCTCTGAAAGCTTCACAAACCTGCCCCACTGTGTAAAACCCATACATTTAAAGCTTGTTCTGTAATCCCTCCTTTTTCTCAAGTGAGCCAGATAATGGAATCAGCCTTTTGGTCCTTAAAAAGGACAGAGCTCCACTGTTACCACACCAGCTCCCTGCCTACCCTGGCTGCTCAGTCCGGACAGATGTCCAGACCCCGGTGGGATTTCAGTGGGATTCTCACACCAGCAATGGCTTCCTCCTAAATTAAATCCCTGCTGCAGCGCTCTAACCTCCTTCCACCCGCTCTATCACATCATTCCCTCAAGAGTGATAGGAAAAACTGATAAGATCATTTGTCTTCCAGGTCCCCAGGGCAGAACAGGAAACCCTGGCAAGCCGGGTCCGAAGGGGAAAGCAGGGGCCATTGGCAAGGCAGGGCCCCGGGGGCCCAAGGGTTTGAAGGGCAATCCCGGGAAAAACGGGGCTCCAGGGAAGAAAGGGCCCAAAGGGGGCAAGGGTGAGCCCGGGCTGCCGGGACCCTGCAGCTGCGGGGCCAGCAAGGCCAGGTCGGCCTTCTCGGTGGCCGTGTCCACCAGCTACCCCAGGGAGAGGCTGCCCATCAAGTTCGACAGGATCCTGATGAACGAGGGAGGGCATTACAACGCTTCCAGTGGGAAGTTCATCTGCAGCATCCCAGGGATTTACTACTTCACCTACGACATCACTCTGGCCAACAAGCACCTGGCCATTGGCCTGGTCCACAACGGCCAGTACCGGATCAAGACTTTTGATGCCAACACCGGGAACCACGACGTGGCCTCTGGATCGACCATCCTGGCGCTGAAGCAGGAGGATGAGGTGTGGCTGCAAATCTTTTACTCAGAGCAAAATGGGCTCTTTTATGATCCCTACTGGACAGACAGCTTATTTACTGGATTCTTGATTTATCCTGACCAAGATTATCTCAATGAAGTGTAGGAGGAGAAACTATGGAAAAAAATAGGAAATGGGCCTGAATCCAACAAACTGAAGCCTTACGTGGGACGTGTCTGGGATTATCAGATATTTCCACATTTGCCTATGGAATTATCAGCTGATTGCACCCTGTATAGGCTATTTAGACTTTTCCACAGGGTACCAGGCTTTCAGCAGCCTCATGAATGTCTCCATCCCAAGCCACACATTATGTATTCCATGATTATTCCAACATGCCATGGACATGTAACTCAAATACTGGTGCAGAATGCTTTGGTTATTGCATTGTTATAATAAAGCATGGAAACCAACAGTCATTTCCTAAATCTGAGCTGGGAAGTGCCACAGATGCTGGAGATTGTGTCACTGGGCCTCCTCCCCCACACCCCAGCACAGTCCTTGCTAATGGAATTGGGCTTTGCCAGCCAGTTCAGAGTCAGGAATTTGGTCAGCTGGAGTTGTAAATGTCCCTCTCAGTCCCATAAAGGCAGCTCTAACAGCAAAGGCATCTGGTCTGCACAGGAAATTATTAAAAGGTCATGTTTTTAAGGTTCAGGGCTCCTCTCAGGGCACAAAGTGGTGCTCTGAGCACTACTGGTGTCCCTCAGAGCAGAGAATCACAGTCACAGAAGGGTTTGGATTGGGAGGGACCTTAAATCTCATCTGGTTCTACCCCGTCAGATATTTAGGAATGAGGTCAGCATTAACATCATGATTGTAAAACCAAGAAAGAGACGAAGACAGAACTTTATTTTTTTAATTTTATTGTTGGCTTTCAGTGCACTGGAAGAGACTGGCCTTGCTGCCTTAGGCAATCTTTTTGCTGGTCCTCTTGTAGACTACACCAGAAGACGTAGAAATCTGGAACAAAGAACAACCCAAAACTTTGGTTGGACGGTGTAATCAGAGCTCCAAAGTCCCAGGGGAACAGCCCTGGGGATGGCTTAGGGTCTGTCCTTTGCTTAAGATTTTTTTCTAAACTTCAAATGGTGAGGATTTTCTTTGTTTTTTGGATCTTTGAGCACTCACCTCTACCAGCTTCCCCCCACAGATCTCTGCAGTGTGGCGGTAGTTGGGGAAATCAGCTACAAGTTTCCCATCTTCCATTTTGACAGTTGCCTGTGAGAGAGAAAGGGTTCATGTTGCTGGGGTTGCTGGAATTTTTGTTGCCAGATTCTGTGAACACCTGCACGCCTGGTGCTGGAATTTTATGAGACAGAGATTGTGTGTTGCACAGGGCTTTAGTTCTTGAATGTTTTCAAGTTAAATAGACACTTGTTCATCTTCCAACTCCTGCAGGTTCCAGATCTGCACATCACTCTTTAACAGCTCTGAAAACAGTCCTGGCAGGCAGCCCAGGAGTCAGCGATGATGGACTCAGGGATCCCCAGGATGGTCTGGGCTGGAAAGGGCCTTAGAGCCCCTCATGTTCCACCCCCTGCCATGGACAGGGACACCTTCACTAGGCCTCACACAGGTTTGCTTTTCACCCTAAATCCACATCCACCTGAGGCTGGGGAGCTGAAGAGCTCCATGAATTTACCTTGAACTTCTTCCCTCCCATGGTCTCCATGTCTGCCTCCTTGCCCACGGTGAAGGTGTTGGTGGTGGTGCGGCCTCCTGGGAAGTGCTGTGTCCATGTGAAGTCATTCCCATTCTGCACCACCTCTGTCACAATCTTGCAGTTCCTTCCCATTTCAACCTTGTCACTGGGGAGGCCTTAAACAATAAAAACACAGAGTTTATCAAATCTAAGTTGAATTTGAACTGAAGAATGGTAGTGGGGTGTTTGTTCTCAGAGCATCTGATTTGTTGTTCATTTCTTATTTTTAATTTTTTTACAATATCAAAGCTCTGAGTTGAAATTACCAATGTAAAGAAAGATATTGGTACATTAATACATTTGCTAAAACAAATCTTGCATTCTTTTCCTTAAGAAACAATACACAGGAAAAATATACAAAGTACATAAAATATTCCCTTCTCCTTAACTTACATATGCAATGCTTGGAGTTTCATCTGTGGGACCTTGGGCCTTTGCTATTTAGCTGCACATACCTATTTTTATATTTGCTCTTGCTCTTTAATTAGATGCACATGGGATGTTTGGACAATTTGGGTTGGAAGGGAGCTTAAAGACCATCCAACCCTCTGTCATGGCAGGGACACCTTCCACTGTCCCAGGTGCTCCAAGCCCTGTCCAGCCTGGCCTTGGGCATTGCCAGGGATCCAGGGGCAGCCACAGCTGCTCTGGGCACCTGTGCCAGGGCCTCCCACCCTCCCAGAGAGGAATTTCTTCCCAATATCCCATCTAAACCTACACCCTGCAAGTTTGAATCCATTCCCCCTTGTCCTGTCACTCCATTCCTTGTAAAGTCTCTCTCCATCCTTCCTGTAGCCCCTTCAGGAACAGGGAGGCCACAGCTGGGTCACCCCCAGGTTTCTCCTCTCCAGGCTGGACAATCTCAGCTCTCCCAGCCTTTCCCCAGTGTTTGATCCAATCCATGCCCCGTGCCTGACCCCAGCCAGACTCACCAATCTTCTGCACAAAGGCATCGTAGTTCTCATCGCCCTCGAACTCGTATTTGCCTGAGAATGCCATTGCTCCCTTGGGATGAGCCTGGGAAGCAGAACAGCAGCTGGAGGAGCAGAATGGATCAGCTGGGCTCAGCTCTGCCTTTATAGACCAGCCCCAGCTCTCAGCCCACCTGGCCCACACCCCGTGGAAATGGAGCTTTATGGCCCTGAGTCACAGCGATGCCATCGACCCGAGGGACAGTCAAGGTTATCAGGAAATTGTGCATCCTTGCCAATGACCTGGAGATCAGCAGGAATCAAGGACAAGGGCTCAGCTTTCCTTTAGTGCAGATTTAAACAAAATGATATATTTTTGCTTTTAAGATTTCACTGGTTTTGCATTCAGGATGGAATAAAATAAAAATGGACCATGCATCAGTTCTCAGCTCTGCAGAGAAAGACCTGGGGAAACTTGCATCACCACCTGTGTTTGCTTTGCACTTTTGATATAATGTCCTGAAAACATATTTTATGCTTTGTTTGTTAATTAACACTCCTTCAGCTTAATCCCAAGATCACTGAACCCAACAAAAGGAAACTTCCTGTCCCAGCTGGACGCCAGTGCTGAGGCCCCAGCTGCAAAGAGCAAAGCAGCATTGGCACAGGGAGCAGGGCAGGGGTGGCACAGCCATGGAAGCCTCAGTCCTCACTGCTCTGCTCCAGAGGGACCTGCACAACCTTGGGAAGGAGGGCCATGAACTCAGGCCATAAACTCTCCTGCTCACATAAAACTTGCAGGGGACAATTCCACTGGCAGAGTAGCACCACAGGGACCTTGGGACACAGATCAAACTGGATAAGGAAAGCAGCCCAGTCCTGTGTAAAAGGAAGGACATAATCAGATTATATGAACAGTACTTGAGCTTTTATACTCCCTGTCCATAAAGATCAAATTATATTGATAGCTGTCCCATGATGTGATACTAAAATGCTGACAACTCCATATAGACATGGACAGGGGAGTCCATAATCCCATTATTTGATTCTGCTGGTTACAAGGAGCAGCTATGCAGAAAAGCTCAGCTGTATTTGAATGTACCAGGGTGATGTAAATTCCAAGTGTGCGGCATTTGGAGACAGTGAACAGGAGTAAGTTGAGAGAAGTAAAACTCTTGTGGAAGCTCATCCCCAAAGGAAAAGGTCATCCAAAGTGAGCAGTGAATTCCCTGTGCCTCCAAGTCAGCTGCCTGTGATATGCAAAGCAGCCGAGTCTTCAAATGCTGCTGGGAACAGAGGGAGCTTTAAGGAGCCAAATCAAAGCCTTGGATATCTTTACTTTGAGAATGTGCTTGCACAAAATAATAACACAGCGTTTTTGCATTCCTTTTGTCTGTGGAGTCCCCTTGCCCTTGGGTGGCTCCCAGCAGCCTCCCAGGTTTATTAACCTTGCAGAAGAGTTGCAGAAAGCCAGGGAGATTCACTCGGAGACAAAACGAGGATAAGGGAGGTAATTCCAGCAGCGACTGAGCCAGGCAGTGCCGGGCTTTGAAGTGCTTTTAGAGCTGGATTGCAACTGAGCTGGGAGTGCAGACTGGAAATATCAGTGGGGCTTTGCAGTGCCCACAGAGCTGCAGTTAATGACTGCAACTGGCTGGGGAAGCCTGGGGAGCCCCAACCTCAGCATCTGGCAGCTCCTCAGCAGCCCTGCTTAGGAAATGCTAATGATTATTAATTCCTCTGGCACTCAGAGTAATCATTGCTAATGAATTCAGGATGCGCTCATTTGGCCTTAATGTGCTGGGTAATTCCAAGGGGGCCCTGTTACACTCGGCCTCCTTAAGAGCCCGTTTTGTCTGGTCCGAGGTGTTGCCGCTCTCCAGCCCTAAAGAGCAGAGAATTCATAACCAGAGGGGGGCTGAAATGTTACACAGCGTGGGCAGAGCTCAAAGACTGCACAGAAATGCACCTGCCAAGCTCCACAGGTGACACAGCCCAGAGCCTGTCCCTGCTCCAGAGGGGACGTGGACCTGCCTAACAAAACCAGGAAGCTCACAGACATTCAGAGACAGAAACACCTGCAGGGCAGGAAGGCACGGCTCTCCCAAAAATCCCATCTTTTTGGAGACTCCCTAGAAGAAAATTCAATTATTTTGTGTGACAACACTCCATCAGGAGAACCTTCAGTGTGTCTGGATCTCCAGAAAAACAAGACAACCAAAGGATTCATCCAGGCTGCACAGGCTGGCAGAGCCTATGTAGGAAGGGCTTGGATCCCACTGGTGTTCCTGATCTCCCAGTGGAGCCTCAGGGGACTGCTGGGGTGTGGGCTGGGAATTACAGAGACAGACAACTAAACCTGGGGAAAATGCATCTGCTACCACAACTTCCTGGGAATTTAATTCCCTCCTTTCTCCGGGATTCTTCCCTTTAATGAATTATCCTGTAGTAAATGTTATCAGTGGTTAAGTCCACTGGTATCCAGTTAAATGGGATGGGGATGGAAAACAAAAATGGGAAGCGATCTTGATTTTTAACAAGTACAACATAAGACTTGCATTTTGTTAAGCCAGTTTGGATTTGTGTATCCTGAAAAGGCACAGGAAGACTAATTTTGGCTGCTCTCAATTTGGCTCCCACAGAACTGCTCAGATTCCTTTGAAGTATCATCCTTGGATTAAGAGCCACTGTGGAATATTTTGAACTCCAATGGTTTTAGTCTAATATAGACAACAGTTCAAAGGTTGCTAAAAAGGAAGATATCATTCAGCTTTATCTGCAGAGTCTTCTGGTCAAAAATTAGAGTTAAAGCTCCTATCTCTATGGATTTCTTATATAGAAATATCTAAAGTTTCATAAAGTGAATAACTGATAGCCCCGAAGACAGGAATCATTGCAACTCTTCTGGACTTTTCTGAGTAAACCCCAAAGGCACCCCCTTTATCTGTACAGTTCATGGGCTGTGTTGTAAATATATTATTACTGATAATATCTGTGCTTGTCCTTGCTGACACATCAGATAACACAGCTCCAAATGGAGCTTATCCTCCAAGGAAGCTAATTGGGATTTCCTCACTGTGGTTCCCACCCAGAGCAATCCTGCTGTTCCAGAGCATTCCCTCAGCTCTGCTTCCCTAAGCTCTGTCAAAGGGAACATTCAATTCAAACACTGCTCTTTTCTTCCTCTGAGGGTACATCTGGTTTGCAGTTGACCTTTTGGTATTCCCAAATCTCCTCTTCTCTGTGTCACCCTCTGAAGCCTTTCCTGGTCTCCCTTCCCCTGCAGCTCACCTGGGAGAGGGCTCAGGTGCAGCAGCTGGGGGAAACCACCCCAGGAACCAGCCACAGAGGGATTAGATCTGAAATCATCTCAAAGGTACACAGGAGAAACCAATATTTGAGTGAATTTCCTTGTGCTGGTGCAGTGTTTAGTAAGTTTAGTAAGTGCCTCACTGAAAATGCTGATCCAAGTCAAGTGTGCAGGGACAGACAGATTCTGAGAAGCAGAGAAGGATTTCTTTCCTTGAAATACAAGAAAAGCCAGTTTTCTTTGCACAGAAAGCCTCTTCTGGGCCTCAGCTCTGCTTTGATGTGTGTGATCCACAGCAACATCTCACTGCATACTTTCAGCTCTTTGAAATTGTTTATATTGCCTTGGATACATTTATCAGGAGAAGAAAATATACTTCTGTGGCAGAGAAAATACACACATTGTATGTGCTAGTCCATCCCCACCTCCACACCAAGCAGATCTTTGCTTCTCCTTGTTCCAGAAACTGCTTTTATTACATCTGGTGTCCCTCTTCTACGGTTTGATTGATTCCTGAGCTGCTCAGCACTAAGCTGGCTCTTATTAATCAAACAACATTGATGGAAAAGTGGGAAAATGAGACCGGGCTGGTAACAGCTGTGATTTTCTCAAACCCTGGAATAAGCCAAATTTCTCTTAAAGATTCCTTCCAGAATTGGAAGAAAAATCTGGAAAACACTTCAAAATCTGAACTTCTACTTAAGTGTTGCTTTAGTCCAGAGTACCAAACAACAGCTGTTTCCCTCCTAAACAATGGGAAAGCATCAGGGGCCAGAAAGCCCCTAAAAAGTGCCAGATTGGTTTAGTTGATCAGAGCAGGGTGCTGAGAACACCAGGTTTGTGCGTTCAGTCCCTGTATGGGCTTAAGAGTTGGACTTGGAGGATCTTCAGGGTCCTTCCAACCCAAATCAGTCTGTGATCCTGTGATGCTGAGTTCCTGAATTTTTAAATGTGACAAAACCCTTGTTTTGTCATAATCAAAAATGATCCTTGTGGGTCCCTTCTAACTCACAACATTCTGTGATCTGGAAATTGGTTTATTTTTTAAAACTTGATTTTTAACCTAAACTTGCCTTTACCAGTGGCTCAGACTGGTCACTCTGAGGGTGCTTAAAAGCTCAGTGACTGGGTGAGAGCCAACTTCCCAAAATTCTGCTTCTTCAGGCACTTGCAAAATCTGCTTCTGACAGGAATTTGCACCCAGGAGTAATGCAGGATCCTGGCAGTCACTGTGGCTCCCCCGGCGGTTCCAGGAGCAGCAGGATTTGTCTGGCAGCCAGGTGAGCTCACCTGTGCTGGGCCACAGCACCACCCAGTGCCAGCTCCGAGCTGCTGAACCCTGCCTTGGGAATTCCAGGGCCAAAGCTGCAGCTCGTGTCCTGAAAGGCAGGAGAGGCAAAGAAACCAAAATACCTCAGCTCTCCCTGCGTCAGAACTGGGGGTTTTGTCACATTTACAAAATTCAGGATCTCAGCATCACAGGATCACAGACTGATTTGGGTTGGAAGGACCCTGAAGATCCTCCATTTCCAACCCCCTGATGCAAAGTTTGGGGCACAATATAGATTTTGAAGCTGAAGGAGAATCTGTTGGGTTTTAATCTGCATTTCTACAGAACTTTTCTACCTGTGATTTGTACTCAGGGTCTGTTTATATCTGGGTTTTTTGGGATTTTTATCTGCACTGTTGCCACCCACCATTGTTTGCAAGCCAGGGCTCACTAAGACTCTTTGGCCAGAGCATTTGAACATCCTGAGCACCAACCTTTGGCTGCCTCCCCCTCCTCTTCCCAAATAAACCCTTGCAGGTTATTGGTACTCCCTGCTGTTCTGTGCTGGACAAAGCTGAGCCAGGGCCAAACCCAGGATCTGTTTTCCCTCCCTCCCCAAAGCTGGAGGGCAGCTCAGGGAAGGTGTTTGGGCTGTGTGTCCCTGCACGAAGGAGGAATTCCCCCAGGGAAGCCGGG